CCATTGGAAACACACATTTCCGATGACGATGTTCCTACAAACTGACTGATTTAGACCAGCTAAAAAAACAGACAAATCATCCCCCTTGAACCATTTACCCCATAATAAAGTTTAAATCGACAGTGAAAACTCCTGCACAAATCAGCTCGTCAAAGGGTAATCGAGGATTATAAATAGTGCATACTTTGGAAGAATAGGACATGTTCAGTAAAAGTGTAGAAGAAAACAAATCGAAGTAACCTACCCAAGTATCGCGTGATAGGCGTGATACTTAACCAATGGCAAGTAAGGAAACCGCAAATAAATAAAGAATATAGGTCAAATGTCCGATGCTGAAATTACACCGAACAATAACTGCTACTATTGTTATCTACGATAAGCTTAAAGTGAAAATTTAAAGGCAAATATAAATATCGATTTGGGAAGCAGAGTTATTCTAGTGATAATACATGGGGTAAAGATAGTCACTGTTCAAGTTTCATGTGGTTGGAATCACTGTGAGAGTAAAATAATTTAGGATTAAGTTTTAGTAGCCTTCGCCTGCAATCAGCACAATAGCGCCTATATGAGAGTAAGCTCAGCATGCTATCTTACTAAACTACGTATCTGTTAAAAATTGCCAGTGATGAATGATGATTGTAGGATAAAGGCAAAAATAAAACACAAAATAAAAAGTCTGCTTGTCTACTGCTTCATGCCATCTTATGAATCTGACCACTCATGGCAGTGATGAGACTACTACAATGATTAATAACATAAACATTGTTAGTCATGTTGTGCAATTGCATTTAGTCCCACCTGATTAAGATCTGTTAAACCCATTATGAATATATCTACGTTTTCATTGTTTTTAAGCGCAATGTGTTATTTGCTGCGAAGTTCTATCAAATGAATATATGAAGACGAATAAACTAAAAAGCCACTTCGATAGCTAGCATCTGAGCTTTGCCAGCAAGGATACAGACTATTTCAAAAATAAAGCCGATGGTCTCCAAAAAGCCAGACGTGACACTGGTGGCAAGTACCACAAACAAAGCGTAGCAGTCGTCAAAGCTTCATATTTGGTGACACTCAGAATCGCCAGACCATATGAAACCTCCAACCATTGCTGAGGATTTACTCATGTTGCCAGCGGCCAAAGACATTATTGGCGTTATGATCAGAGACGAATTTGAGTGCACTTTCCTTATCTAACGACACTGTCCGTAGAAGAATAGATGATATGTCTGTTGATATTCTTGATCAGGTAATAGAGGAAATTAAATCTGCTCCACTCCCAATATTTCGTATAAAGCTTGATGAATCTACAGACGTTACGAACTGTTTAAAGTTACTAGTTTACTTGAGGTAAATTAATGATGGCGTCTTTAACGATGAGTTTCTCTTTTTTTTATTTTTATTTTTATTTTTTTTTGCACACCTCTTGAAATGTATTTGACTCAGTTGGTTTATTTCTGAAAGATTATAAGATCTCTTGGTAAAAGGTGGCACAGATGGTGCTCCTGCTATGCTAGGATTTCGATCTGGATTTATACGTTTGGTACTGAATGATTCCCCCAAAAGTCATCGGAACTCACTGATTGATTCATCGGCAAATATTAGCAACGAAAGCGCTGCCACAAGAGTTACATGAAGTAATGAAAAGCTTTATGGGTTCTGTCAGTTTTGTATAGGCGAGCACTTTAAGCAGTTGACGGTTTTCGCATCTGTGCAAAGAGTTGGATGCGCTAAACAATGATCTGCCATTTCACACTGAAGTGAGTTGGTTGTTCAGAGAAAAAGTTTTAAAGGGTGTTTTTGAGCTTCGGGATGAACACAAAACGTTTTTTAATCAGAAAGCAAGTTCACAGTCCGAAGCACTTTTTAGTGATACATGTGAACTGCAGAAAAAAGCGTACTTGGTTGACACCTTTACCATATTGAATTAGTAAAATTTATCACTGCAAGGACCAAATGCAACATGCCTCAATTTGTCTTACAAGATGCGATCATTCCAAATGAAACTTCAGCTTTGGCCAAAACAAACATAAAAATAATGCATGAAAATAAAATTTGCATGTTGCCTATCTTATCTGTTTTCTTTGAGGAACATGACATTGAACCAGTCAAAAGGAATACGATGATAAATTCTGTGAAGGAACACTTGCACATGTTTACAGACGAAATTTCATCGTATTTACAAATCTACCTGACACCCCATTAGCACTTGCCAGAAGTTCCTTCACAATCAAAGTTGAAAATGTTCCTGCGTCAACACAAGAGGATTTCATTGAACTTATTAACAGCGAGAACTGGTTGCTCTACAATACAATGTTACAAACTTATGGGTCTAGTATTTGCAGTCATATTCTGTTCTGTCTGAGACTGTGTTGCGCCTTCTTCTTCAACAACAAATTTCTGTGAAACAGGGTTTACCAGCTTGTTGGTAATCAATTCTAAAGACAGAAGTAGACTTGTTGTGGAAGATCAGCTTCATTGTGATCTTGCAAAAACTGCCCCGAGTATTTCTGATCTGGTAAGAAAGAAGCAATCTCAACATTCGCATTGGCATTGGAGTTTTACGCATACTGTCGCAAAATGTAGCAATATAGTTTACTGTTGTTATATTAAGACTTTTACCCATGCTACACCATGCTTCAAGGCACAATTTCATTAATTTGTAATTAGAAATAAATATTTCACAATATGTAATTAAATATTGATTTTGTGATTAATCAGTAAACTCCATTCGATCGCTCTGATGTGTTTTGACCAAAGAAGGTTGATTCATTTTATCAAATTCACTCCTATATTTTTAGGCGCATCCTTTGCTGCCTGGGGGGGGGGCGGTGGGGGGACAAAATGAAATTATCAAATCCTCTTCTCCCACAGTTTTAAAGAAACATTAATAACATCATCCACGGGTTGGTAGACCCCTACATACACAAGCACACATTTTTTGCACTGCCCTGAAATTAATTAGAATTCTAAAACCCAGCACCCTTTTAACCACTCACTGTTTTACATTTTCTACTAAAAATAGTTTGACGTATACATCCGAATAGTAAAAGATTATGATTATTTATTTTAACATTAAAATCTATAATGAAGCTGAAATCTGTAATCCAAATAATTGGACTTTGAGATATTGATATCCAAATGAAAATATTGCAATTTCTTTTCTTCTCATTTGTATAAGTGATAGGTAAATTAGTGAGTGGTTTTTGGCAATGAATTTTCGTTGTACTTAATGGCTTCAACGGCATTTTCTTATCAAAAATATCTGTAAACGTTACGTTTTTGTTATTTTATAGTTGATGACAATAAATTTTCGAAATGAAAAATAATTAAAAGTTATTGAATGTTAAAATGCAAAACTAAAATTTGGTGTGGTATTCTAACAATTTAAAAATAAATCAATTACATTTATCAGTTAAATAATTTAAAGATGAAAACCTTTATCAGTTTTGTCAAACATGGTTATTAAATCAAGAAAAGTTAAAGCTATTAATTTGCGAGTTAAATTAAGTTCTTATAAGATTATTCTAATTTTTTTTTTTTGAGTTTAATCAAAATTTAACTTTGATATTGTTTGAAGACATTTTGATTTGAAGGATTTAAATTTAATTTCGCTAAATTAACAACGCAGTAAAAAAATAAAACAAAAAACAGATATTTTGGGTTTTACCAATAAATATGAATACGAATAACAGTTACATTCAAATAAAATACTAAAAAAAAGTCTTTAATTGCTCAATTTAATTTTTTATTATTCTTTAATAATAATACCTAAACATAGGCATAAATTCTGAAATATTTCATTTTTATATTTAACTTTTTCGATTTCCGTAAAAAAACAAAAACAAACAAACAAACAAAAATCCTATCTTTGTTTTTAAGCATTTGGATATATTTAAATTGATTCGATGTATTAGCGTATAATGGATACCTTAGCTCATTCTTATGACCCGATGTTACCGGGAACATAATGGAAGGCATTCTGCGATACTTTCTACCAGCTATTGTGATGTCTCATCAGACGTCTTCATTTTAACAATAATTATCTGTGAATGATGTTTACGTCTCTAACTTCATTTAGTTTTGAGAAATATTCTTCTGCTTGGAATATACGTCTATCCTACTCATTTTCGCCTGACCTACATTTTAAATTAACTTTACATCAAAAAACATTTGTACCATTTTAAATATCGTTTTCATTAACGGAATTCGATCTCTTGGTATCTTCATTGAAAGGTTAACGTGCGCTACTACACATTTTGCACGCCCCTGAACTTTAATGAAATTCTTACATCTCTGTTACATCTCTGTTACATCTCTGTTACATCTCTGTTACATCTCTGTTACATCTCTGTTACATCTCTGTTACATCTCTGTTACATCTCTGTTACATCTCTGTTACATCTCTGTTACATCTCTGTTACATCTCTGTTACATCTCTGTTACATCTCTGTTACATCTCTGTTCGCCTTTGCTACGCATTGTTTTATATTTTAATTTAAAAAAACAAACAAAAAAAACAACAAGATCAGAACATATTACCGTAAAGAACGATTAAGGTTTATTCATATGGTTTGTTCATATTTGGATGGATGGTAAGTAAATTAGTGACTGCTAGTTTGCTACGAAGTCTCATTGGACAAATTGGCTGTAACATCATTTTCTTATTAAAAAGTGTTTTAAAAAGTTTTGTTTTTATTACTTTATAAACTTAAAAATGCACAATTTTTTTGGAACGAAAAAATAAGTAAAACTGATTAAATGTTATTAATACAAATACATAGCAAAAATTTAAAACTTGAATTGTGTCTTTACAAATTAAAGAGCAATTTATTTAAATTAATTTGATTAAAAGGGCAAAAGGCATTATACGGTTTGTCACATTCGGTTATTAACTCAGTTCAATCGAACATTTTTATTTAATAATTTTTGAAAATATTTGGATAACAAAACATGCAAACTTAATAAAGCAATATTAGCAATGCAATCAACCCCCCCCCCCTTTTTTTTTTCCACAAAGATGTTTAGGTTTTCGCGATAAATATGATTATTAAATAATAATAATTATATTTAGACCATGTTTGTTAGTAAAAAGAATATCTAATACCTATTAAATTCGCTAAAATACTTAAAATAATTCTTTAATTGTTATTTTAAATGTACGTCTATAAAAAATTAAAAAAAATACTTAAACATATAATTAAGTACTAAGTACATGTATAAGCAGAGATATTAAATTTTTATCACATTTAAAATGATTTGATTTCCGTAAAATATTATTTAATATAAAATCATTCTTATTAAGAATACGAATGTATATTTTGATTTATTTTACTGTTTTATTGTCACCTTAAAAGCTCATTCTTATAGATATATATTTTTAAAAAAAAATTTTTTTTAGTTCAATTGTACATTTTAACTTGATATTTTTTGGAAGCATTTTGTAAACATATATTTAAATATAATTTCGCAATATTAACTAGGCACAATTTTATAAAAAAAGCGACAATTTTTGTGTTTTCCCGATAAATGTGATTTTGAAATAATTCTATTAATACAGGACGAAAAATTATTGATTATAAATTATAGAATACCTTAACTTTCAAAATTGTATGCAATGCTTAAAATAGTTCTTTAATTGTAATTTTAAATGCAATTCTAATTTATAATAATAATACTTTAACATACAAAATTACTAAAAGATATATATTTACTTTTATAATATTTAAATTGATTTCATTTCTGTAAAATAATAGTAATATGAAATCCCTATCATAATGATTATAATTGATTTTAAGAATCAGAAATTATTTAAATTAGTTCATTTTCAAGCGTTATATGGTCAGCCTGGCTCATTCTTATATAATAATATACATATAGCATAAAAATTTATATCTTGCTAAGGAACATATTATTGAACAATCTTGCAACAATCAAATACCAATTTTAACAATTGAACAATCGGGGAAAATCCCAACTAATTATCCGCTAATAAAGTGGCGGTTGTTACACTTACAGTTTAACAAATATTCAATTAAAAGTTTGCCGTTTCCATACGTTACGAATTAATATTTCATTTTGTAAAACATTTATATTTTGCATTACATAAAAAGTGGAGATAAGCTTGTAGAAGTTCCTGTAAGTTCAAACTAACTAGACCTAAATTTTCTTTTTAAAAAAAGGCAGATCTACACATTCCCCATTCCAGTAGATCTTCATATTCCACATTCTAGTAGATCTAAAATTGACCCAATCTAGTGAGGCCTTGCCTTAGAGGTAAATTCTCTTGAGATTAAAAAGGCCATTTACATGACTTCAAATAACTACAAACACTACACAATATCTCAAAAACTCCAAACAATGACAGGCTGAGCCACAGACCTAGTGCGCCACCAATGTCTGCAGCAAATGTCGAAAACTGTGGACCAATAAAAACAGCATGGATTTTAAGATTTAAAAAATATTTTATTTGAGTGCGTTTATTGTAAGACCTTTATCTCTTAAGAAATCCTGGGCGAGTGACGAGTTGGAATGGATTACATTATTTTTTTTAAAATGGGGTACCGATGCATAGTTTATGATAATATTAGATTTGTTGACAACTTTTAGACTTGATAGAAAGATATTTTGATAGAGATGAGATTTCTGATAAAGGAACAATGACTTGAGAAGGAAAGAGCCTAGAGGACTTAACAGTTTGTTGGCGTATTTTACAACATACTATTACTTTTTCATTTAGCATTATTCTCAAACAAATTGGGACTTTGGTGTTTGAAATAAGAACATATATACACATAATAATTTACTAATTTAAAATTAATTATTTTTTTGGAGTCGACTACTTAAATATATTTATTTAACACCAAAATAATAATGTAACTCTATTTTACATCAATAAAAATATCCCCCCCTCTCTCTCTCTCCCTATCACTCTTCTCTCTCTCTCTCTGCTCTCCCTCTCTCCACCTCTCTCTCTCCCCCCTCTCTCTATTCCCTTCCCTTTCTCTCACCCTATCTTTCTAACTCTATCTCTCCCACTCTGTTACTCTCTCGCTCTCCCTATCCCTCCCCTTTTCCCTCTCTCTCCCTCTCTCTTATTTTCTCTCTATCCTTCTCTCTATCTCCCTCTCCATCCTCTCCCTTTCTCTCTCTCTCTCTCTCACTCACTCTCTCTCTCTCACTCTCTCTCTCTCTCTTGCTCTGTCTCTCTCTCTCTCTCTCTCTCTCTCTCTCTCTCTCTCTCTCTCTCTCTCTCTCTCTCTCTCTCTCTCTCTCTCTCTCTCTCTCTCTCTCTCTCTCTCTCTCTCTCTCTCACTCTCTCTCTCTCTCTTGCTCTGTCTCTCTCTCTCTCTCTCTCTGTCTATTTTCTACGCACTTATTCGTAGGAAACACAACGGTTTTAATATACACATCAGACATGTGTAATTCTTACCGACTTCTCTGGCTCTTCAGTAATCTTGTCAAAGACTGGATTCTCAAAGTAGATGATCACGTGTAAGAAATCATTCCTGTTTTGAAATTTAAATGCCAATTTTTTGTATGTTAAATGTTTACTATTTATAGAGTATCTTATTTGTTTTCATTTACTTTCAAAGTCATCAAAATCATTGTACAAACTAAACATTATTTTAAAGTATTTGCGAAATTGAATATATTGTCAGAGTGATGAAGCATACATTGTCATAATGATGTAGCATGCATTGTCATAGAGATATAGCATACATAGTCATAATGATGTCGCATGCATTAATCATGCATTATCATAGTAATGTAGCATACATAGACATAGTAATGTAGCATACGTTGCCATTTTAATGTAGGATCATGCATGGTCAAAATGTCATAGAGATGTAGTATTAACTGTCATAGTGATGTAGCATACTTTTCATAATGATGTAACATTCATTGTCATAGTGATGCAGCAAACATTGTCATGGTAATGTAACATACTTTGTCATAGTGAGGTAACATACATTGTCATATAGATGTAGCAAATGTACACAAGTATAATGTCGCCTCTATAAACTGAATTAAAAACTCTGGTAACTAAGACCATAATAGTACAGTTGGTCTTATTTCACTGTAACTAAGACCATAACATAAAAATATGTTCTTTCACTGTATTTAATTTTTTTTTAAATTTTCATTTGCTTAAGATTAAGAATTTTAATGTAAGCCTTTGACGTCACATACATACATTTGAAACTTACATCAACTGCTCATGACTTTTAGCTTTTGCTTTGTGGCAAGTTTTACTCGACTTATCTTGGCATAGCTTTGCAATTAACACTTCCTAAAGAAAGGAGGGGAAAAAAATCTAAACTTTTTTTTTTTTGTATTCCCAGCAAAGCCAAAGAATTTTAACATTAATTTCGATATTAACAGCAAATTTGAAATTAATGATATAAAGGAAGGGAAAAAAATCTAAACTTTTTTTTTTTTTTTTTTGTATTCCCAGCAAAGCCAAAGAATTTTAACATTAATTTCGATATTAACAGCAAATTTGAAATTAATGATATTTTAAAAATATAATTGTAATATCCATAGATTTTAATTTCAATAATAACAGCAATGTGGTCTGTATGTTTAGTTGCTGACTATGCCGCTTCTGTTATATAGGTGAGACGTAAGTAGAGTATCTAATATATTTAACGAACATCTTCGTGATATTTAACAAGACGAACAATTTCCTATCTGATGCCATTTTATAGGCTAGAAACACAAAGGTATTTCAGATTTATCCAACCCTTAAACGAAAGGGAAGAATGACATATTTTTTTTAAAATTGTATTTTGTTTCCAGATACCCAAATGGCATCAATCAATTATTCTCTTACTAGAGGTCCTCAACTTCCTTCGTACCTATTTCTAGTTAATATTTAGTGTTATTATCCTACTTAAATTTTGAAATTCAACATAATTTGACTTTACCTTCACCTTAGACCTAAATACTTGTATATCTTGTAAACTTCTTGTTAAAAAGTACGCTTTGGTTTTAGTCAACTTCCTTTACTATTACGTTATTATTTCCGCTACTGAAGATTTGTTGTCCTTCTCATGTTCATTTGTTTCTTGTTAATTTGTCATCTGATTTAGGCACCTAGGCAAAAAGTACGTTGGATTGTATTGTTTTTTTCCCTTTAGGCTTTCATTTCCCCTGTTCTATTATTTCTTTCAACGCCTAGCACCATGTCTATTATATATCCTAATTTAATTTCATAACAACTCCATCTTATCAGGCTACTTTCTTATTAGGCTACCATTTACCAAGCTACCCTCTTATCAGGCTACCATTTACCAAGCTACCATCTTATCGGGCTACAATTGACGAAGCTATCATCGTATCAGGCCACCAATTACCAAGCTACCATCATATCAAGCTACCATCATATCAAGCTACCATCATATCAAGCTACCATCATATCAAGCTACCATCATATCAAGCTACCATCATATCAAGCTACCATGTTATCAAGATAGAAACGTCACAATTCGCATCACCAAAACTCCAGAAGAAGGCGGCTCAAACGAAGACCAAGACTTGGGTGTGGGAAATGATCTACAACAACTGGGAATCAGAGCATGGCATAGAAAAGCATCAGTTAGGTCTGAGTGGAAGGAAGTGGCGCGACTGCGATGGGGTGGATGTAACATCCTGCTGCAAGGTTCATTTGATTTGATCACTCACCTCGAAGTGAGTAGTTGGCCATCTAGCATAAGACACCTGTTTTGAGTAAACCGTTTCGCTGAAAGACAAAATAATTCATGTTCATCAAAGCCTTTGCGCTTTGTGGAGTTTTGTTTTAAATATCTCAAATTCTCCTAACTACTAGCAAACATTTGCATTTTCTATTGTATTCAAAACTGATGTGGAATGCATTTTTGTTGCTAATTATAAAGAGTATAAATAGGAGAGAAGAAGTCATACCTGCAAGGACTGTCACAATCGCATGAACTTGCATCATATTCCGTGTGGATACAATCATTATCTAGAATAAACCAATAACTGATTTTTGTTACTCAAGTCTCGGCATGCTAAAAACATATTTCAATACTTGACAAAATTCCCTTGGAACTGCTGACTCGACAGTGACGTTGTTAAGTACCGCTATGGTGTGTTGAGGATTTAATCTCTTATTTGACTATATGGCTCGTTGATAAAAAGTACCTAACAAATTACGATAAAATGCATTAAACACAGTCATAAAGAAACGATACCCTAACTAGGGTTAATTACAAATAATAATTTTTTAAAGTTAACTTTACAATAGAAAAATCAAATAAATCAAAATTACGTCTAATGACTTACGGTTCAGCAATGTACTTGAACCGGTTCAATGTTGAAACAGGTATACACAGAGAGAGAGAGAGAGAGAGAGTAAATATTAATTTACAAATCTTCATCTCGTGTCATAAGGGTTCATCTCTCTATATCGCTCATGTTTTGCTCTCTTAGTCGATAGGCGTATGTATACTCCTTTTAGTGACTTTTTTAGAAAAGGCTTAAATATTGTATCCCTATCTCAGTCAGTCTCAATATTTCTACCGAATTCTAATTCTAAAGACTATATATAGAATGTTTCACTTGTAATCAAGGTCAAGGGAGACTATTGTCATTAAGCCACATCCCGTCGTGTTACCAAATTTGGGGGTCACCCAGAGTCTGTGCACAGGTTTCCCAACGTAAAAAAATGATGCCTAAATGTAACAGACATATTAATATGGAACTGCTGACCCGATAGTGGCGTATTAACGTGGAACTGCTGACTCCATAATGGCGTATTAATTTGGAACTGTTGAGTCGAATGTGACGTATTAACGTGGAACTGCTGACTCAACAGTGACGTATTAACGTGGAACTGCTGACTCAACAGTGACGTATATAAATGGTAAGTGCGCAGCGTGTTTTTCAAGGAACAATTTGAGCTCTTTTTTTTGTTTTGTTTTTTTTGTTACAAAACACAGGTATGTTATTGCCTAATCTCTGCTTCTTTAAAACAAAGCACTACTACGTTATCATCTCTTTCTTGTCTATATTATCTTTGCTCCTCGCCGTGCTTTTTAAGCGCTGCACGTCACAGGAGCTGTTAGAATTTTCATTGTGTCAACGTCATACCGCCAGGATTACCGTACTTGTGTATCTTAGGATGGAGGTAAAATCGTAGTCTACCGAGGTCACTATCAAAGATGTGTAGAGAGGAAGCCGATTTAGGGAGTGCTGATTATGCGAACATTTTCTTGATAGTCTCTTCAACTATGTCGTTATGATTTTTTAAAATCGGGTTGTTGGTCCTCTGTTGGTCTAGCTTGTCTTCTAGTTACCTGTGTGCCTCTTTTACGTACATATTTTTGTACCACAAAACGACGGATCTACCTTTGTTCCATTGTTTGATAATAGTATGTTTTGCGGCTAAGTAGCTTAGAGAATGCCTTGGATTTTTTGTTGTTGAAAGATTAGAGTTGTGGAGTGAAGGCAAAGGGAGGTTCTTGATGTCGTATTCCGTGCTCCATGTGTACAGGTCAAAGGTCTTGGATTGGGCGGATGGTCGTGGCCAATTAGATTTGCGTTCTTTATGGAACGGGAATGACTCATCATCAGGGAGGATATTATTTTTCATTAAAAATTGAAACTGAAGTCTTAGGAAACGAAAGAGGGGAATGGGAATCCCGAAAGTAATTTGTAGCAATCACAGGATGGTTTGAATGGAATAAATTTAAGACTTTAGAGAGTAGTGACCTTTCGTCGTCAGAGATTTGGAGATCAGGGGCGATGCATACGACCAATTTTTAATCGGTGACTGTTTGATGAGGTGTTGCGCTATTGATGGGCTTAGATTGTGGATTTATTTATTTTTTGTTGGTAGGAAATAAGCAATATAAGTCACGGTTAATTTGTGGATAATAGTGCTAATAAAGTCATAAGATAAGCGATTATCAGTGGTCTTTGAGTGAATGCGATCTTTAAGTCGATAAATTGTGGCATTGAGATCGGAGATGAGACGCTTAAGAATTCGCACACATTGAAATGTTATTTTCTTCTCAAAAGATTAATTTTTGGCCTTGTCATCGGCGTTAAGAGAGTGAGTCGCAGTTTTTAAATAACTAGAAAAGCCTTTAGACATATTGCGGAGTCGTATGCAATTATGAAGACAGTAAAGATGTAATTTGCATCTTGTTTTTTTTAAGGGGAGTGAAGGCAATTTCCTTGCAATCAGTGGTTAGGTAAGGTGGTATTAAGCTAGAGACCTTAACGCCACCCCCCTCCCACTTTGGGACGAAGCACATGCACGCAGCACTTGCCCTTTTGTCATCCAGACTCAACACATTCCTTACATAAGTGCAGTTTTCAGATTAGGGATGGTTTCCTTTGTACTAGCCGCAATGTTGTGTACGCCATTGTTTGCACTCGTTGCCAGATGGAGTACTTAGGGGAGACGGGACGCCGACTCTTTGACAGCTGTACCGAACAACTCTGTAATATTACCCAAGATAAACAGTGTCCCGTGTCTAAACACGTCTATGAAACGACCGCAGGAAGTTTGAGGATTTTACAATCAGTGCAGTCGTGACCGTGCTGACACACCAAACGGGGTAAGCTTGGAAAACAAGCCAAGGAAGGCTTCGTGCCAACACCTTTCCTTGTTTTGTTGCGTTTTTTTACAGGTTTTTCCTTATTTTGTTTCACACATTTCCATTTGTGTAATTATATTGACTGTGTCTTTGTGGATTTTTTTGTATAATCTTCTAAAATGTCCTCTATAATCTGTATAATCTTTCTATTAATTATGTCATGTTTATTTCGACAGTGTCTTCTATAATCTTTATCATGTTTATTTGCCTAAGTGTGGTCTGCAATATACATCATATGTATTTTGACAAAGTATCATTACTTTGGAACCCTCTAAAGTCCTTGCAATAGAAACATAGCAAGCAGACCTTACAAGTGTTCTATTCATAAAGAGCTATTGTTTTACTTAGGAGTAATTATAAGTAGGACATCTTCTCTCTTGGAGTTTCCATTGTTAAGATCGCCAAGTAACCTCTTCACGACGCCTCCTAGCCAACTGTACCGACACGCGACGCCATCCCAACTTATTGTGTCATCCCACGATGCCTCCTAGCAAACTGTACACTCCGGTGACGCCATCCCAACTTATTGTGTCATCCCACGATGCCTCCTAGCAAACTGTACACACCGGTGACGCCATCCCAACTTATTGCATCATCCCACGATGCCTCCCAGCAAACTGTACACACTGGTGACGCCATCCCAACTTATTGTGTCATCCCACGATGCCTCCTAGCAAACTGTACACACCGGTGACGCCATCCCAACTTATTGCATCATCCCACGATGCCTCCCAGCAAACTGTACACACCGGTGACGCCATCCCAACTTATTGTGTCATCCCACGATGCCTCCTAGCAAACTGTACACGCCGGTGTCGCCGTCTGTACACGACGACAGACAAATAAGATGTTTCCTTTGTCTAAGCGATTTAAGCATGTTCATCACCTTTAGGTTTATTTTTTTTTATATAATTGGACGTTACTAAATTTAGAATTAAAATATTGTTTTTACTGATAGTATGTGTTATGCAAAACGAATTGCTGACGTCATTTTTGCCCGTGAATGAACTCTAGCTGACCCCAAGCTCAGAACTACATTTTAGGTTACGGCTTAATAAAAATACTCTCTATGACCTTGTTTCAACTAAATAAAATCTATAGCCTGTATTATTAGAATTCTGTAGAAAAATCTAGACAAAACAGGAAAGGAAAATATTTTGTAAGCCCGTCTAGAAATATCAGTAAAACAGGCTATTTAAGGAAGAGAGAGACATTTTGGGCGATCACTATTACGATAGAAATTTGCTATACGAGACACAGATTTGTTTATTAACATTTTATGTGTGTGTATAGATTCCTTTTTCATCATTGTACCTTTTACAACATTGCGTCTTCTTCAAAGTTGTACCGGTACGAGCCAATCATTATATTGTAAGGCAATAGCTTTAATTTAATTTTTATTTTTTTATTTTGTAGTTCATTATCAACTTAATAAAATGTATTAATTTTAATTAAACCTAGTTTGGGTATCGTTTTCTTTGTTATTGTATTTAACATATGGTATCGTCTTTTGTTGTGTACTGTTGTAGAACGAGCCGTATACTTGAATAAGAGATTAGTTTCTCCATAGTGATAACAGTACGTAACAGCATGTAACAATAACATCTTGTTTACCTTTCTCATCTACATGACTGCAATTTCTCAGATCGTCTGGATTCTTTAAGATCTCATTAATTTGGGCCTCCATGGTATCAATACAGCAACAGCGTTTTTGGAGTTCTTTTTGCTCACAGATCCTATAGCATAACTGTAAATAAATCAAAACAGAAACACAAACTTTTGTTCATTGCAAGTTCGTTGTTAAATATATTGACATTTGTTTTTTTTTTTTTTAAACAGTATTATTTTACAATCTTTCTTTAATTAATATCTTAAATAATTATTTCAAACATATGATGTACCCACGTCTATCGAGTATTTCCAACCGTACTTCTCTCTGTACATATCTGATGACTCACAGGGGCCATACGGTTTACCAAGACGCGTGATAATAGACTGAAATATTTATAAATAATGTTTTACAAATTTGAAAAATCAGAAAATACTTGGGTATAGAAGTAAAGTAAAAAATCATAATATATATTGTTAATCTCAGACTTACTTAAGACGTTACCTAACAATATTTTTTTCAAATCTCAGAGTTACTTCAATTATTATTTTTCAAATTTCAGAGTTACTTCAATAATTTTTTTTCAAATCTCAGAGTTACTTCAATTATTTGTTTCAAATCTCAGACATACTTCAATTATTTTTTTCAAATCTCAGAGTTACTCAATATTTTTTGCAAATCTCAGAGTTACTTCAATTATTTTTTTTTTCAAATCTCAGAGT